CCCAAGCAAGTGCTTCTACTGTTCAAGAGCCCCAATTAGAAACTCCATGCTATCAGTTTCTGTTGTAATTCCCCCTCCCCCATTTTTTTTTCTGCTACCCAATTGCTCAATGGGCTTTATTTTGGTTTCTAACTGAATTTTACTTTGTAATTTATACAAATGGTTAGAAAATAAAATCCTTCCAAGACTTTTTCCCTATGAAGATGTTAGCTTTAATTTTTCTCATTTCTTGTATAATTTCTACAGACACTGGATATGGACTAGAATTTAGTAAATTAACTTCACTAAACCCATGGATAAACATTCTTCACAGCTTTATTGTTTCTGCTGTCTGCAAACAAGCTAAGTGACTGACTTTCAATATTGCTAGGCCTTTATTCATCCTCTTCCCTAGCTGTCTATGCGTTTCACTTTGTGCTGGTTGGGATGCCAAGTTTTCAGAATAAACGTTCTTCAGCTCTGCTGTGGGACACACATGGACACCAATGTAAGAAGGAAGAGCTTTGCTGCCTCCACTCTTCTCCTTGCATTATACCCTCTCCATGCAAACATCACTCCTGCTTTGGGGACTGTTTCTGAGTCGCCGTTCGCCTTCCCATACATTTCCTTAAGGGTGTGCTTTGACTAGATCTATTCAGTCTTTGTCTCCTGGCAATGCAGAGCTGTTTATATTTTTATAGTGACACAGATGCCCTCATGTTTTGGTCACATGTGTCTTGCTATTTATTGTTCCTTCTAATGAGCATCATGTTGGGTTTCATTTCCCTGCCCTTAAGGCCAATGCTCACTGGTAAAGAACCTACTTGGTATGTGTAAGGACCTAAGTTCAATCTCTAGTAATGACTTTCCCTCTCCAATGATATTCTCATATTAAGAAAAAATCCTAATATTTGTAATTCTTTTAGGAGTAGCTCACTGCCTGAACTGAAGATGCCAGCAGTACTTTTGTGTATCTACTCTCAACAGCAGCACACTGGGAGCAGCCTTGGATTTCAGACCACATATTTCTAAGAATGCACAGACAGTGTAGACCTCACATATATAGTGCTGTCTTTCTGCTTGTTAAAGGTATAGTTACACTGGGACTTCTGTGCTCAGACTCACAGCTCATAATCTCCAATCACAATGTCAAAATGCAGACATCCCAGAAACCTAAATTTTCCACTCTCAGACTTGGTGCCAAAATAGCAGCCCAGCCCAACTTGTTGTGAAGCCATTTAGTCTGATTCCACACATAGGAGTGTCTCACTGGTAGGAATCAATATAATAACAAAGAGTATAAAATACTGTGTAGATACCTTCCAAAAGCCGTAACATTCTATATAGAAAATACAGCTCAGATTGATTAAAATGATATTTACAAATAGTTCCTAGCACTGGCCACTGAGAACCTAGTACATACATCTCACCAGCACAGCCTTGGACCCACATTCTGGTTGTAAATACCAGTCTCCAGTAAAGCAGCCAGGGTTCTCTGCAGAAGCAGCTGACTGCAGACCAGGACAAGTACAGGAAAAGCTGAGTCTGGTCAGGCCAGAAAAAAAAATACTTAAAAGACAGTGCAGAATCGGGTATGTTTTAAGGACACAAGGAACCACTTGCAGGAACTCTAATGGCCAGGAATGCAGACTCAGAGCAACAACATCAATGCTAGTCATACTATAACCCAATACTGAGAATAACCTATGGCCAGGCCTCTGAATCTATGCTGAGAGTAATGGAGTACACTTGGGAGAGGGAAGAGAGTGTACTCTCTGTAGAACTCTAACTTATAAACACCTACAGGAAATACAAATCACCTGCAGAACACCAGGGCCAATTATCAGAGTCAAGACTCATTGTCTAGGGTTAAATCTGTGGAAAACATAATAAGAGACAGGGTATCTGTGGTAAACAATTAGCTTCACTGAACTCCTTAGGTGACCTAGGGACCCTACAATGTCCTGCTCATCAGCACGTTCTTGCTTTGTGGATGGTTGGATAGCTCTATAGTTAAAAGCACTAGTTGCTCTTGCAGAGAACCAAAGTTTGATTCCCTGTACCCACATAGTAGTTCATAATCATCTGTAAATCCAGTTCTAGGGGATCTGATGCCACCTTTAGGCATCTGAGGGTACCAGGCACAGGATTGGCACATGAACATACATACAAACAAGAACTCATATATAAAAATATAATTAAAAGCAAACAAATAAGAAGAGAAAGATGTTCTTGTTTCCCTGGGTACTTACACCAGAGAGCCAATGCTAGCAATGTGATGTACACTGTAGTCCTGGATCACACACTGCCAGTCCTATCTTTGAAGGGGCTGGATCTCACATAATTGAGTCCCAATAATGACTGCAAATAGTATGTTTCAGGTAAGCTCTCTAGGTCACCAATGCTGGAAAAAAATCTACACTATCCTCACCACATGGGACCTCTCTTGGATCCTGCTCTTGGTCTGACCCTGTCCTTTAACTACACAACACTGAGTACAAGAGCTTTCAGTGGGCTGTGAGAATGACTGAAGCTATTACTGAGGGCATACAACTATAAAATATCTATATCAAGTTAAATATTTACAACTACAAGGAAAAATAGGATGTTTATAGAAGGTAGAAAGCTGGCCAACAGCACCTTTGCTAACAATCCATGTCAATACACCTGTACCCAGCACAATGCACAAGTAGGGCATATTACCTTTAGCTCAAACAGGCTCGAACAGATCTGGGCCTCAGTCTAATCAAAAGGAGGCTTCAAGAAATACACATGGAAATTGTCTGCAGAGAGAGGAACTGTATTCTTCAAAAGCATCATGATAGGTAAGGGAAGGCTGAGGCCCTGACTTGGTTGAAAAACCTGACAACAGAGCCCAGGTGGGAGCCTGGTTCAGCCCAGGCAGAAAAGTGTCCTGGTGAACACCTGGTAAGAGTAAACTTCCCACGACTGTGTCAGCAGAAGCTGTCAGTAACTGGCTCACCAGGGCTATGAGTAGGCTGCTCCAAGGGATGGCTAGGAAACATGTCACAGCTGTGGACACAAGGGTGGCAAGATTCATGGCACCCAGCTGCTCAAGGTAGAGAGTCAGTAAGTCTGAAGTTACAGTACACGTTAGGAGAGACACAGTTGGTTCCAAGGACTATTGCAGGGATTCTACATGGAACCTCTCCTGGCTGGTCATAGGATTTCAAGAAAGACAGGTAAGCGCAGAAGGTAATCCTTCACCCTGGCAGGGACATTTTCTTTCTTACCCATGAAATCTATACCTTGTAGAAGCCATGATTATATTTTCCTTCAAAGTCTCTAAAACATTTCAAATGAGTACATGAAATGCTGTAATTGTCAGAGGTGGCCAGAAACTACTCACAGAAACCTGACACAGACTTAAGCACCCCGATTTTCTCCTATCAATTGTACCTCAGGGTGAAGGACTGAGAAGCCACTCTTTAGAACTAGTATCACTTTCTCTCTGAAGACCCCAGGCATCTAATGGCTCCATGCTAGTCATCAATGGCTGCTAGGAACCAGTTCATGGGAATTCCCCCCCCACCCCCAAAAGAACCCAGCACTACCTCAAGGAGTTTTACTAACTCTCCTCTTCCCAAAGAATCAATCAGATCAAGCCTCAAGATATAATAGCTAATTTAGGGGAGCACACAACACCTGAGTACATGGGAAAGACTAAACCAACCTACGCAATATTCCACCAAACATGGGAAAGAGTGTGAGGGGGAGAGGAATTGAGAGGGAAGGAGGCAGGGAGGGAGGGAAGGAGGGAAGAAGGGAGAGAGGAGGAAGAGGAAGGGGGGAGGGAGCACATGTTATGGCTCTCAACCAGAAGGGCTGCTGCCAAGAGCAGCCTCTGACTCCCCTGTGTACTCTGATGCCAACAGGTGTCAGCAGCATATATGAGGTTTTAGACAACTGAAAAGCCTCAACATTTACCAATGTTAAGGAAAATAACACCAATGCTAAGGAAAAACTGTCAGTTTTAAAAGAGGTGAAATATGTGCCTAACTTTTAAAGTGTTTTTAATTTTTAAAATGTCATACTGCAAATGATAACTACATAACCATCTCTGTAAGTACTGCCTCATTATGGTGAGTGCAATAAACGCTGTGAAGCGTTCCTTTTCCTCCAACACCATAATTGTAACTGGGCTCAATAGAGACATGTAGTTTTCTTCATGAATCTGGTTGGCATGTAGTACATTGTTTCTACAGACACCCACATCCCCTTTTATTTTCCCCGCAAGTTTTACACTTGGATTCATAAACCACAGAATTGTCCTAAGTTACAAGTGACACTGACAGGCATACATGGAAACATCTGCTTGAAGAAAACTGTTATTTTAAATATGAAGCTTTGACATTAAGAACAGAAAGACAAAATTGCACCAAAGTAAGTTTAAATATAAAGATGAATGATGCCTGAGAACAGCAAAGAGCTTTGCTGACATTAGACATGACTCACCAGTCTCCTCTCAGCACCTTCAATCTCATGTGCAGAAGGGGCAGCAGGTGAGGCCATAGACTTAATTGGCCCATGTGGTACTGTCTTGTCTTGTTTTTTCATTCAAGTGTGCTGCTGCTCGTATAGGTTCAAGCTGATTCAACCAGGACTGCTGTACATTGCCTTCACACAGCTATCCTAGAGATGATGGCCGTACTAGGCAAGGGCTTCCACCACACAGCCAGTCCTAACTGGGCATCTGGCCACCCTTCTGCTTTCCTGACACCTGACCCTCAAAGCTCATTTACTCAGTAGCCTTCCAAAACTGACCCTGTTTGAAACCTTGATTTTCCAAGGTCCTCTCAGACCTGTTCAGACATGCTGGTGATTTGGCTGCTACCTGTTTTCTAAGTTCATGTTAAGCTAAGGAATTGATAAAAGGGCATTCTGAACATAGAAGACAAAGAACACAGAAACTACTGTTCTGTGTGCTTCCTCTGCCTGTGACTGTGACACAAGAGACCTGAGCCCCTTGCCCACCAGCACTGCAGCACACTCGGCCTCACCTTCATCGCTCCCAGTTCCTTTCTGCTTTTTTTTCTTGACTAGTTGAATGGCTCGGTAATCAGTTCTTGCTGAGCCCCCACTTTCCTGGGACCAAAGAAAAGTGTGTCAGTTGCTTGATCTAAACAGCAGAGGAAGGGTAGCAAGGGGACTAAGCCTGCCTGGGAATGTATCAGAGCTCCAGGAATCAGTCACCAGCAAAGGTGTGCGGGAAACCACATGCTCTATTGTTAGCAAAGGAAAACGCACACAGCTTCATCATCTGGATAAGTGAAGTTCATTCCTCCAAGGTCTAAATGCACTAAGATATTTTAGAGAGAGACTGCTAAGAGCTGTACACTGCTCTGCTCCCTAAAACACCATGTCTTCTTGATGCCAGGGTTATGTCTCAGCAGCCCTGGGCAGTGTTGGCAGCAAGTGCCACACCATCATCTGCCAATACAGAAAGTATTACTGAATTCAGCAAACTTATGGAGGTGCCAGAGAAACAGTATTCAAGGAAATTTAAAAATGTGTAAACACCTAGTAAGAAAAGCTTCATTCTTAAAATTACGTAGAGCAAAGGAAACCAGTCCTCTATAGCTCACAGTATACTGAAACCCATCCACAACACCATTCCCACTCAGAGAAGCAGGGGAGCCCAATGGCACACAGCTAGCAAGAGAACAAACAAGGGGCAAGCCTAAATTCCGCTGGCTCTTCCACCTCCACCCAGGTTCTGCTAACTCTTCCACTCCTGAGACACGAGGGAGGCACGGAGTACCGGGAACAGGCTTCCCACATGCTCTGACCTATGGTTACCTTCAGTCCCTGTCTAGCTACCTGTTGCTCTTAGCAACTGCTGTGGCAGCCTAAGCAGATGCTGGCAAGTGTAGCTCTGCCACCACCAGCCAGACACCAGCAATGGAGAGATAGACTGTGCGGCTCTCACAGTGAGAGAAATGCAAGTTGGCTCCAGTAGGTTGGTAGCTAGGCACCCTCACATTTGATCCCAATTTACAACTTAGTATTTTAGGCTATAGTAAGGTATGATGTATGAATCCTAACATGATAAAATGTCAAAACAAAATTTAACCAGCATTCTAAAGAAATCTATATGTTCATTTCCATTGTAGACTGAGGAAAGTCAGACTCTCTCTAGGAATCTTTAAATTATTTTAAATTAGATTATATTAAAGGTATAATTGATATAAATATAGAATACAATAACTGTGCAGCCTCAAAATTAGAATATTGTTATAATCCTTCAAGAATGAAGGCTCAGGAATCACTGTTATTCTAATAAAAAAAATCCTGATGTAGCTTCCAAGTTCCCACTGAACTGTTAAGACGATTGATGTCAACATTGCTCTTCTAGGACTCGTCACTACGTGAAAAGCACAAAGGTGAATATTTCAATAGTAAGAAATGCCTCAAGTTTTCTCATGAAAACCGTATAAAATCACAGAACTCAAAAGAATCTTAGAATGCACGTAGCCAAAACCCCTTATTTTAGAAATAAGTGAGGATCTAGGGCTCAGATAGGTTAAGTGATTTGCTTAAAGCTGTAAGAATGTCAATCTCAGACTCAAGGTCAAAGTCAGGCTTCCAGATTATTGCCCAGGCTCCATCTGTCCTTCTGCACACCAGAAAGAACCATCTGCACAGACAGGATTCATCCCAAATATGATCCACAGTGCGTTAAGGAAGTGAGCTAGTGGTGGTGATGGAATAGAGTGCTTCATACCAAGTAGAGACTGCCTGTGCCAGCACTGAGCTCGGAGTCCTTTTGAGCCCCTGGCCTCTCTGCAGAGTTGGACAGCACAGACTGGGATGGTCCATGGCTTCCTTTCTGCCCCTGGACCAAATCTGGGACAGGAGATAAGTCTTGTTCCACCTTTATTGGAACCAGCAAATCTGGAACACTGCCAGTTTTTTGAGTGGTGTCCGAAGAAGTTGGTGTGGTACCAGGTGCTGTCAAGTTATTGCTGGGGGTCAAAGTTGGTGAGTCTTGACTCATGTTCCTCACAGGCAAAGCCACCAGGCAGCCGACTGCTCCTGTGTTCATGGCCTGTGAGTCATCTGCACTGAAGCTGCTTGGTTGAAGAACTGTGGCTGATGTCCCAAGAACAAGAGGACTGTCCAAACTCGGAGGGATATCACTGTGGGCCACTAGAACGAGGGGGTCCATTGGCCCCATGGAGTTATTATTAGTAGGGAGATTCCCTCCCAGAGAAGAGCTCACAGAGGTGACATCAATGGTGAGAATCCCAGAGTTCAGTGCTTCATCCGACCCAGCTGTTGAACTGCTACTATTAGCAGGTGTGTCAGAGAAAAGTGCTGCTAAATCTATGTTAGTGAGCTCACTTTGGCTTGGGCTACTCAGTTCACTGCTGGGTGTGAGAGAACTTGGAGCTTCCAGCTGAGGTACAAGATCTGTAAAAGCAATGGATATTCAGTTACTACATTGCCAGACTAAGAAATCATCTTTCTGCTTGAAATGTTAGTAGCTGTCCCTTGAAGCAACACTGACTACTCTTTTACTAGACCTGGTCATCAGGGTAAAGACTGAGACCTACTGCTGGCACACAAGTGAAGAGCAGACACCAAAGAAAGAGCTGACTTAACAACAGGAACATCAGCTAGTATTTCATGTGCTCCAAAGCCTGCCCTTCCTCCTGTGTTGTAGTAACTAACCAAGAAAGTTTCAATCCATCCATAACACAAAGCCACTATAAGTCAGCTCTAAGACTAACTCTGGGTCTGGGGTATTTTTTACAATTATCTTCAGTTATCTCAGGTCTTGTCAAACTCTGTGCCCAGCTCCACATCTATTGCCATTCACAAACTAGATTAGTTTGAGTCATCTGTACTTAGTCAAGGAATAAAACTGGCTGTCTGTACTGGGTTGAAAGTTCCATGTTTAGGCAGATGCATGGAGCTCAGACATCAGGTCCTCTTACATCCTTTATTGAAACTTCTGAACTGCTCCAGTGCCTGAAGCAGAGGGGAGGGGCACTCAGTTCTGTTTCTCCCACAACAACTACATGCTAATCACAAATGCATACTTTATAAGCATGAAGGCCAGATCAGAGTGAATTAAGGCTTTTTTGTTGCTTTGTTTTGTTTTTCTGAGACAGGTTTCTCTGTGTAGCCCTGGCTATCCTGGAACTCACTCTGTAGACTAGGCTGGCCTCACAGAGATCTGCCTGTCTCTGCCTCCCAAGGGCTGGGATTAAAGGTGTATGCTACCACCACCAGGTTACATACTGCATTTTTAACTCAAGCAAAAGACATCTAGTCTAGACATAAGAACAAAAACCAAAGACAGACTCTTTAGTTGTCACATTCACAGAGTGTCTTCAACAGTATCCCAGCATCAATACAATATTCTGAGGAGATGGGAGTGATTCTTTCTAGAATTCTGTTTCACAGGAAACCTGTTACTTTCTCAAAATTAAAAATAAGCAAACAAACATGCATCTTGATGATTCTGTTCTTTGTGGAGAGTGGTTTTGGTAGAATAAAGATATCAACTTACTCAAAAATCTTCCATCTAATATTTTATTAATTCCACAATTGTCAACTAGAGAATTGGTATGAATGGATACACAAGAGAAAATCACTGACTAAACATAAGCACATAGTGCTAATGGTTAGGATTGTGGCTATGGGAGGAAAATAGATCCTAATAAAGACCCTGGTTTGAGTATTTCCTTTTGGTCTCAACCTTGGCAAGTTTTTCTGCAGCATGGTGAGGTGAACTGAAACACAAGCTAGCAGTCATCAGGTAGCCCTGAGTGCCTGGTCCTCTACTGATCATGATGGGCAGAATAAATGATACACGAACCAGTCAATTATACCATAAACATAGCCTGCTAAAAGGGCCTCTTATCCATCCAGAGTTTAAGTAAAACTCGTGTGAAGTAACCTGAATTAGCCAGCTTGGGCAAAGAGAGATGCAAGCAGAGAGAGAATGTTAGCTCAGAGCTGGAGAGGGGGACAGTGGTTGAGAGTGACATCCTCCAACATGAATTTTAGAAGACACACTCTGTTGTCCTTAAGGGATCGATCTACAGACTAGCAGGAGGGCAACTGCTGTGGCATGAGTTACAGTGCCTGAGATCCAAAGGACAGATTAGCAACCACCTCTCCCAAGAGAAGAAACCAGATTAAGAACACAAACCTTCACCAGCTCCAGCTGTTCAGAGCCCTGCATAGACATTTTAACTAACAGTGACTTGTAACATCATCACCTTCCTTATTTTCAAAGCTCAAGGAAATGGGACTCGACAATCTGTCCCTGCTCAGGGTCCCAACTGAGAAAAAGCTAAATGGTATTCTCTACTTCACATGTCACAGTGAGGGGGAACTGGTTAGAAACAACATGACCATCAACAAGTTACCTTACCAGGAACAGAAGTAAGCAGAGAGACAGCCTCTGTGAATGTACTAGAGAGGCACTCCGATACTCTTATGTCCTGCCCATGACTGTAGATAAGATGTAGAAGGGCAGGCTTCTAAGTGCTGTACCACAGATGCTGAAAGTCAAGTCCTATATGCTCAACATCCTCCCCTCCACATGCCTTTGATCACTATCATGGTGCTTCTTTCATACCCCAGCCAATTCCTGAGACACAATTCTACCCTGAGCTTGGAGAGCTTCCTGTCCATCTGTAGAACAGTCCTCTGTGTAGGATCCACTGTCTCTGAAGACCAGGAGGAAGACATTCAGGAATGACGGACATGGCAAATGGCAAGACAGACTCAAGAGGATGAGCATACAGGGCCAAGGGCCCAGCACAGATAGAATTAGAGCACATATGAAGGGGAGGCTTGTAACATGATGGCACATATGAAGGAAGAACTTCACAGGCAAGGGAAAAATAGTTTCAAAGGGGCTGTGGATAAGATGAGAGCAGCAGGAGAGGAGAGCACAAAGGTCTCACGGCTGTGTAGAAACACAGGGATCCAACTTCATGGTTTGCACGGGACTGAGAGGTGAGAGGGAGGGGAACAATCCCACTTCTCTCATGCTCAGGCATATACTTCTTTATAACCCTCAGGGGCCACAATCACAGACCTTGGTGCTGGCTGTGCTGCCGCACCATGTGCGCCTTCATGCTATGCTTGGAGGTGAAGAGTCGGTTGCAGCTGGACACTGGGCAGCGGCTTTTCGGAGTACCCACATCCTGCAGATGTTTCTTAGAATGAATGTACAGACTGCTGCGAGCTGAGAACCTGGCACAGCACCCTGGAAAACAGAGGGGTCCAGAGTTATACCTGAGGATGATCAAGGATACTTCCTAACTACATCAGAACTGACACTGAACTGGTAAGACAATTCAGAAGGAAGGTGTTTGTCACCCAAGCCTGGTGACCTGAGTTTGGTTTCCGAAACTCACATAATGGTGGAAGGAAGGAAGGAAGGAATCAACTCTACAAAGTCGTCTGCTGACCTTCTTCACATACGCACTGTGACCCACTGTGCCACATGCAACTCCCTCCATAAGAGTAATTAAGAATCATGTACTAACTAGTTCTATGTCACCTTGATACAAGCTAGAGTAATCTGAGGTAGTAATAGAGGGAGAACATCATGAGAAAATGCCTCCATAAGATCAGGCAAGCCTGTAGTGCATTTTCTTAATTAGTAATTGATGTGGGAAGGCCCAGCCCATTGTAGGTGACATCACTCTTGGTGGTGGTCCTGGGTGGTATAAGAAAGCAGGTTGAGCAAGCCATGAGAAACAAGCCAGTAAGAAGCAGCACTCTTCCATGGACTCTTTATCATAAACTCCTTTTTTCCAGGTTCCCTCCTGATTTGAGTTCCTGCCTTGATTTCCTTCAATAGACCTTGATTCAGGATATGTAAGCCAAATAAATCCTTTTATCTTCAAGGTGCTTTGATTATGGTTTTTTAACACAGCAATACTAACTCTAATTAGGACAGAAATTAAGTCAATGTGAAACTATAACCCAATCCACTCAGGATGACAAAGGGATCAGAACCTTCAAGGATGAAGGTACAGGTCACTTCTTGAGGAAAAAAAATAAAACAAGACAAAAAAACAAAAACCCAAGGCCTGCTGAGGTGCTTGCTAAGGATGAGGATATACATACAGACTGGGCAGTAGAAGAAGCCAGTCATAAACACCAACTAAGGCCACATGACCAACTGCAAAACTGAGGATGATAACTGACATGTGCTTCTGTCACATTTTTTGCTAAGAATGTGTTTGTAAGGATATTTGTGTTTTCTTTCTTAGGTTTACCATGTTATGTAACATCAATTGAGATATTAGTGGTTAGAATATGTAAGTTATGAGATATAAAAGACTGTCCCTCAAGGGACACACCACACATTCTAAGATATATAATGTATTTGCAGTTATAGGAGGATAGTTATATCATGTTAGGAGTAATTATGACCTGGTTACTGGTTTCATTTGGAAATAAAACGTGACAAAATGAGATATGATTGTGTGTCAAGTTGACAAGGAGTGAATTTGCCATGGTGTCAACTTGAGTACATCTGGAATTAACTAAACACCTGTAGGAGATTCTTTTTGTTGTTGTTGTTTTTGTTTTTGTTTTGTTTTTTGAGACAGGGTTTCTCTGTATAGCCCTGGCTGTCCTGGAACTCACTCTGTAGACCAGGCTGGCCTTGAACTCAGAAATCTGCCTGCCTCTGTCTCCCAAGTGCTGGGATTAAAGGTGTGCGCCACCACCGCCTGGCTGGGAGATTTTTTTTGATTGCATCATTTGAGGTCAGAAGATCCAGCCTAAATTTGGGCCACACCTTCTGGTGGCAGCCTATATAAAAGGACATGAAAGATTAAAGCTTTTGGTTTTTGTCTGATTGCCCTCATTCTCACTGGCAAGTTTATTTATCCTGCTGCCAAGGTATTCCTCCACTAGACTTAGAGCCTACTTCTTCAAAATTCCAATGTATGCTGAGACATCCAGCCTTGTGAATTCTTGTATTTTCCTTTAAGAGACTGAACTGCAGCCTATAAGCTACTTTCATAAAAGCCCCTTTTAATATATATAGATTCATTTTAACTGTTCTGTTCCTCTAGAGAACCCTAATACAGATCATGACACTATGTTCCCAAGCACTGATACTGACAAGTGACATATACCAAATACCCTGCACATAAAGGAAAAATTATAAAGGAATATGTGGATTATGAGTTAGCGTAAGACATGTGACATAATCAGGCTTACTCTGTTCCTTCTACCCACTGCTCAGAGTTAAGTGGAAACAACTTAAAAACCTCGAGTCAAAGTTCAGTTGCAAAAATGTATATGAATCACCTTTATCAAGCTGTTAAAAAAAAAAAAAAAAAGAATCCTAGGGGTTGGAACTATCTCAGCACATGACCAAATACAAACCTGCTCATTTTACCTCTGTTCATAAACTGAGCAAATGTCTCTAGGTCACAGGTACAAGAGGATCCAAAGCTGGCATTCCCCAGCTTAAATACTCAATTCACTCACATATCAGATCTGAATTCAAGTGCTGAAACAAACACATTCCCTTAAACAGCCCACTTTCAGGTCCCGGGCCCTGGCACTGCCTACCACCCTGAGGATGTCCCTGATGCCATTCTCAACACAGACAGAGCCGAGCTTCATTTGTCCAGTGTGCAGGAGTTCTAGAGTTTCTGCATCAGGCTCCACTGCATCATGCAGAGGTCTTGACCAAGCCCTGTCACACAGCTGTCGGCTGAGGCTCAAAGCTCCTTGGGAATGTCAGTGCTCCATTGTTAACAGTGAATTGCTCTTTCTCCTTTCCCCAATCACTCCCAGAAGAACTGTCAAAATGAGCAGCACCTGCCTCCCGCTCACTACCTCTGCCTGAGTTATCCGACCAAAATTTGCCCACCAACAGCAAATGATACTAGTGGGCCTCAGCATTCATAGTTGGCCTTCACAGACATCCTTCTGGCTCAGTATCCTGCATTTTTACCAGAGCAGCCTTTCCACTGTTATACCACCATCTGTGGCTCTCCACCATGGCTCACTAGGGCTTAAAAACAGAAAACAAACTAAAACTCCACCTAACAGTAATCACTACAACAATTGGAACTGATAAATACTAATGCTTTTACAAGCTTTACAAGTTTTAATTAGCTGAATCCCTGCAAAAAAACCTATGAGGTTTAGTTTACTTTATGGATGAAGAAAAGAGGCACAGTTTGGTTCATCCCAGGACTCCTCAGAGCCATGCAAGAGGCAGACTCAGGACTTGAATCCAGAATTCACATTTTGAATTGCTTGAGAATTCCATCCCCTTGCAGGGGTTAAATGAGGACCTGTATGCTACTTGCTTAACCCATAGTCCAGCTTGCTCTTTAAGCCAGCAGCAGACACAGTCTGCTTTGAGTGCCTTTGGTCAGGTGAACATTTTATCATTTTATGTACATATGACCAAACTCTTATCTTCTCCAATCCCAACATCAGCTAAGACACTGATCTCAACTACTAACCTTCCCTCATCGAGGTCCAAATCATTACAGCAAGCTTTGATTCTATTTTTGTTGTTGATAGGATTCTCTTCCTTTCTGCTGTCAGCCCCAAGCCCAGGAGCAACTGTCGTACCAAGGTGACTGCAGTGCCTCTCCAAAGACCAGACTGGGCCTTGGCTCCAACATGAGCTACTGTTGTCCTGTGGATTCTCCCTTTGGTCTTCCTGCTTTCAACAGCCATCCTTTAATGTCTGGCTAGCCTTTCCTCCTTAAATTGATCACCCCCAGCCCCAAGAGCAGTATGGATGAGCCCCTGACTTTAGCAGCCGGCGTGTTCTTATTTACCTGACCAGACTCACTCATCACTGGCATGGTGATAGGAGGGAAAGCTTGATCACAGCATCTGTACTACATTCAGTCTGTTGTAAAAACTGGTATTGGTCTTTACAGAGTCAGTTGAGGCTCTAAATTTAGGGTTCAACAGACTCATGCTGGACTGTTCCTTCCTTAGTGGACCTTCAACTAGAGCAGGGTTGGTAAAAATGGACCATACAAATAAATTACCCCTTTAACATTTCAAAGAAAAAAAGCCTGTGCTGGCTAGTTTTATGTCAACTTGACACAAGTAGTTTTTTTTTTTGAAAAAGAGAACTTCAATTGAGAAAAATGGCTCTAAACATTGATCTGTGGGAATGTCTAGGAGGCATTTTCTTGATTGATGATTGATATGACAGGGCAAATTCACTATGGGCAGTACCATACTTGGGCCTGTGGTCCTGGCTGCTCTAAGAAAGCAGGCTGAGTAAGCCATGGAAGCAAGCCAGTAAGCAGCACTCGCCTATGCCCTCTACATGAGCTTTTGCCTCTAAGTCCCTTCCTTGACTTCCTGCCCTGACTTTCTTTGATGATGGTCTGTAACATAGAAGTGTAAGCTAAAATGCTCCCCAAGTTGCTTTTGGTTGAGGTGTTTTATGACAGCAATAGAAACCCTAAGACAAAGCCTCATGTATACGCTTATTAAAAAAAAACAGACAGGCTCTATTTCTGTCCAGGTGCAACAAGACTAGCTATTTGTCATCTAGTGAGGCCAAGCCATGCGCCAGACCACACATGACAGTGCACTCTTCTCACTTCACCTGATCCTCAAAATCACAGAGTTAGACAGGTAGTGGAACTACAGCCTCAGACTGAGGACTTCTTCCAACCAAATAAATACAGTGGTGCGACTGGCAATTACCTCAGTGCTTCTGCAACTCAAACTTACAGCTTAACAGGAGTGTTGGTGTGACACTTTGTCTATAGCTAAAGCAATGTTTTAAATGCTACCTTCCACAGGGCACTCAAATGGCTTTGTTCCCAGGTGGGTGATACTGTGGCCCTTCAGATGCTCTGCTCTAGTGAATGACTTGCCGCAGCCTTCAACAGGGCAAGTGAACCTCCGATCATCATCATGTTTCCTGAAACACAAAACAAAACAAAACAAAAAGAAGGAGCAGTCATTACTCACAGACTCACGGGCATGAGACTTTAGACCTGAAACAGTATGCTCCCCCCATTCAGAATGATCAATGCATTTCAGAATGTTCACACAGGGTTTATTTAGCTGCCCCATAATCAGAAATTCTACTTTGATAGGTAGGTGGCCCCAGAGCCAGAAACAGAATAATTAGTGCTACAATAATCTGGGAAGAGCTGAGCCCCAAAGGAGAGAATGAAGCAATATGAACTACTTAGAAGTCTCCATGGCCAATGTTCTTTCTAAACTACAGATGACCAGAAGACACACACACAGCTTGGCAGCAGTGGGAAAGATCCCTTTTAAGTAAACTTGCAAATACTGTCTTTTTCTAAGTAATGCTTTTACTCCAAGCACCTCAGACCACAGTCATGAAAACCTACACAGACCACCCACCCACACTTTCTGAGTCTGTATAATACCAATGTCAGAGTCATAACCAAAATGGAATGAGGCAACATATTGAACATCATGTGTACACAGACCCCTAGTTGTCAGTACTACTACTGAAAGTTTGCAAGATCATAAAGAAAAGTATTTCTACAACATTTAAAAGGAAAAAAATGTAACTGTATTGACAGGATGTTAAGCAAACCAAATCAAACTCACACAGAAAACAACTGTTGTCATATGAAGAGACTCTTAGTGCTTTTCTTACAGTTTTCTGATTTTCTAGAACACTGACCCTGAGCTCCATTTTAAACTGCCTGAAATCTGTAAGAAACTCACTATAAGTGGTCTGAGTCACATAATTCATATGCAAATGTATGGTTGGTTTACCTTTTGTGTCTTAGAAGTTTGGACATACTGGTGAAGGTCCAGCCACAACTGTCTGAGTCACAAATAAATGGTCTTTCACCTTGTAAAAGAAAAACATGACACAGCATAGCCATGAGCACAACAGCCATCACAAAGCATGTGTCTACATGGAGGTGCACACTGCAGCTCATACCTGTGTGACTTCGCAGGTGAATTTTCAGTCGGCAGGCTTTGTCATATTGTTTATTGCATCCAGGAAAGGAACAGGAAAAGAGCTCTTGTTCCCTGAAGTGGGCTCGATTATGGGAAAACAGGGCACTCACTGTAATGAACGTCTTCTCACAGCCTGAGTGAAGAAAGCACAAGCTCAGCTCTCAGGACAAAAATCACACAGTGCAGCTTACACTATTGACATCCTGTGGCAGTTCATAATGAACAAACGAGGAATGGCATGACTCGGAAACCATGTCTGCAAAGCTCTGCCCACCAATGCCTAGCTTTCTAGAAGCCACAGAAGGTCCTGTTGCACATGTGGTATGCAACACACAGGCCACCTGTTGCAGTGTGATGTAGAGATTAAGAGGTTGTCTTCCAAACATAACATTTTCTGGCCAGTTCTGCAGACAACTCTGCAAAAACTAGGTTTCCCTTTTACAAACTGTGTTGGCAATACTGTCTAAAACCCAAGAAATGAGCATGACAAACTGAACACTAACCGTCATAATTTAGTCGGGTACAGTTTTGCAGGGCTGCAACCATCCTATCAGCTCATATCTTCTGTCCCACTAGAGTGATACTGCATCCTCTACACTTTTCAATTCCAGCCTCTGCAACTGACACCCCACATCTTACCATCTAGTTTTTCTTTCTCTTTCACCCATTTATTCAGGTTGCCAGCTTCATCTCTGTTCTCTCAGCCCCACCCTACTCAACCCTTCATCCCAAGCAACCTACACCTCTGCAGTTCCTACAGCAACACTTCTTTGACAAAATGCTTGGTGCTCAAACAGGGTAGAAAGTAAAAAGCTGAAAGATGTTTAAGAGCTATCTTTGCTGCAAAATTGCAATCATTATGACTGTGAGGCACTACATAGCCCTGCCTAAAAGTAACAGCCCAGGGAATTTCTGCCCCATCCGAAAGTCCTCTTCCTTAGCCTCAAGCTGTCTGCTTTGCTTCTTAGGATATATGTGAGCAGCATTCTCCGCCTCAGCAGCAGTCCTCACCACCCCATCAATGGGCAAGCCCTTTCACCCTGACTCTTGATCTTTTCCTGAAGCCCTACAGCATTCCCACTGCCACTTCCTAGCTCATGCTGTCAAAAGAACCTCTCCTTGACTGGACACTTAATGGTGTTCCCCTGCTCCCTCTCCCAGCATCTATGGAAGCCCAAGTGATCAGGCAGCACAAGAGCCTCAGGGGCACCTCATGCTTTTAAGTGAGTGGATCCCTGTCCTTCCCAGTATGACAGAGAATGGTGCTACTTTTACCAGGGTGAGCCCAGCAATCGTCATTCTCATATTAGGAAATGACTGCATGTGTTCATGATTTCCACATAAGACTAACAGATAGTCTGTGTGCATGTTAGAGTACAATACTACTAGAATCTGTTGCTTGTAGAAGTTAAACCTCGTTCTCCTCTCCAAGCCCCATATAACACACAAGATATTCTTTCTACAGTTGCTAAACCCTGCATATGAGAATAATCTACAATGCACATTACTAGAGTGTTCATGTGCAAGCTAAGTGCTGGATAACAGTAAAAAGATCAGACAAGATTCCAGAAACTGAGAAGTCTGTCAAAAATAAAAGACACAAAAACAGTTGTGTCACACACCTGCAGAGGCTCACCTTGGTGAGGGAGCATCACTCTATTCATAATATTGGAAAGGACAGGGGTCTGATTCAATGTATGAGACGTCCTTGGGAGCTCTGTGTCCGCTAATCAATGGGGCTTCCAGAGACACTGGAGAGGGACCAGAGAAGCACCAATGTGTGGTCATTCCCTTGGTATTTTAAGGTGGCATATTTCGATTTATCTTGGATCTCTGACTCCTCTGGTATTGTTGAACGAGTAGATTGAGAAAAATAAAGTCCTGACTCAACTCTGAGAAGCCGTCACTTTCAATGGAAGCATCTTAACAAAGGTTTGTAGCCTCCCCACGGATAGCCGTGACTATGCATGCCACTTCACTCTAGGAACCCAGAGCTTCATATCTAACTACCTGAAAGGAACCTCAACACAAACACCCGAGTCTTTTTTGCTTGGTTCTCATTTAGATCAGGGCGTACCGCCCCCGCCCCGCCCCCCCGCAAATCCTGACCAAACAGCGACACCGAGCTTGGCCCTTAGGTCCAGACACCGCCGGGTCCCGCCCGCCCCCGCAGGTCCGCGGCTCCAGCTTACCGGGGAAATCACACTTGTAGGGCCGCTCGGGCTCGAAGTGGCTGCGCTGGTGGGAGTTGAGCTTGGCGTGTGTGGGGAAGCGCTCGGCGCACACCTCGCACTTGAACAAGCTCTCCTGCTCGTGGCCCTTCATGTGTGCCTTGAGGTTGTAGACTGTGGTGAACTTCTTGCCGCAGCCGCCCACTGGACAGCTAAAGGGACGCAGCTTGTCATGAGACTGCAAGTGCCGTTTGAGCTTGTAGGAGGTGGTGAAGGCCCAGCCACAGCCATCCAGCGGGCACTTGAAGGGCCGCCGGCCCTGGAGGCTGCCGTGCGTCAGCAGGTGCACCTTCAACTGGTGCTTCTTGGCGAAGCTCAGCGCGCACTGCGGCTCCGGACAGCGGTAGGCCGGGGAGCCAGCGCTGGCGGCCACTGGCCCGCGGCGGGACGCAGCAGCGCTCGAGGGCTCCAGGCCCGGGGTGGCCGCGGGATGCAGGCCCGGGGAGGCTGGCGCGGGTGCGGCGGCCAGCGTGAAGACGCCGCGGTCGAAGCGCACCAGGAGGTCCTGGTTGTGTATGGTGACGGTGCCTGCCAGAGCTGCGCCGGGGGCGGTGGCCGGGACCTGTTCCGTGGGGCTCGCGCCCGAGTCGGGCTCGGCCTCCTCCTGCCCATGGGTGTCGGCCGCGCGCGGCACTTCCAGCAGTACCACGAAGGAGTCGCCGCCGTCCTCTGGGGGTGGAGGACTGGGCCCCGGGGCCTCCTCTTGACGCGGCCCGGGCCCGCCATCTTCCGGGCCCCCCAGCAGCAGCAGGCGGCGGCGCCCGGGACCAGCACCAAGGGACGTCCCCGCGCCGCGGCGAAGTCGGCTTGGGCCACCGCCATGTTGGTCTCCGGTAGTGGCCGGGGCGGTGAGCACCGCCGGGAGGTCCATCTTAGGCCCAGCTGAGGCGTCCGAGCCGCAGCCACCAGAGAAGAGCGGCCCAGCCCTGCCAGGCATGCGCGCGACACCTAGAGTCCGCCCCCCGGGAGTCTCTGTCAAAGCTGAGCATAGAGTCCAGCCCAGAGTCGCATCTCGAGCTGCGCGTGCGCAAGAGCCGTGGGCGTGGCGCGCGAGGGCTGTCGGGACTGTAGTCACGAGGGAGCCAGGGGGTGGGGCGGGGGCGGAGCCTCCAATTTGTCTGTGCTTTGGTTTGAGTCCCAACTTGGAAAAAAAGAGGGTCTTCAGGTTTTGGCTCCTCCTTTTGCGTCTGGGTAGCGGAAAGAAATGAAAGCTGATTGCATTTCCTAAGAGTTCCTGAGCCCTCTTGTGCTTTCAAAATACAAGCTAATTCAATCGGTGATTGCCAGGTGTAAGGAAACAAGTCAACTTTACCTGTGGCCACGTGATCCAAAACTGGCATTCAGGCTTTGAACCTCTCCGTTTTTCTTGTCACCTTCTCTATGACCTCGCCGAAGAGCGCGCCTATCTGCTGCTACTGGGCCACACACCTGATTTGCCCTGTAGAAGGTCCTGATAGGATCCCTACCTAAACCTTCTAAGTTACTAGTTGTTCCCTGAACTCCACAATCCCACTTGTCTCATACTAATTTATCTGGAATCACACCACTCCTGTCATCACCACTCAAATTCAAGCTTATTTCACTCCTAGGTTCTCAAATTACTAAGGGACTAGGCTTCAGTCCCCATTTACCCAACTGTCTCCCCGCCCCCACTCCGTCCTGTCCCCCCCCCCCCAGCCTGTTTTCTGTAGGGCAGGCTTTAGTCTTCTGAAAATGCGAATACTATTAAAACCTTGCCAACTTGCCCTTTGTGCCCACACTGGTTTACCCTCATTTTCCATCAATCTGCCCCTTAAAATGTGAGGCTATGCCCCTCTCCCTGCATCTACCCTAAAAGTTATGGAAATAATGTCTACACAAAAGCTACATGCATGCTTATAGTAATCTTAGTTACAACAACTTCCCAGGAGAAGCAATGCAAGTGTTCATCATCAGATGAATATTGTTCATATAGTGGAGTATTTTTGAGGCATAACAGAGTTTTGCAAGTTACAAACCTATGAAAACCTATGAAAAATATTTCAGCCACAAAATGTGTTAATAATGCCATGTGTATCAAATGTCCAGAAGAGCTAAGTTATATAGACAGTACATTAGTGGCTGCTGGTAGCTACAGGGAGATGAGGAATTAGGACTAGCCTCTAATAGGGATGGGTTCTCCAAGGAGCAAAAGTTTTTGGCATTAAAAGTGTTGATTGAACAGCACATCTGATATACATAACCAACTGACAACAAATGACAACAATGACTCCTCTGTATGTTTCTATTAAAATACATTTAAAAATCAACACAGAAATAGGAAAAGTACATTTGTTTGTGAAAGAACCTTACCTGTCTGTATGTGCTTGCATGCTCTGTGGTAGTTTGGATATGCTTGGCCCAGGGAGAGGCACTATTAGAAGGTGTGACCTTGTTGTAGTAGGTGTGTCACTGTGGGTGTGGTCTATAAGACCCTCACCATAGCTGCCCGGAAGTCAGTCTTCCACTAGCAGCCTTCAAATGAAGATGTTGAACTCTCAGCTCCTCCTGCACCACGCCTGCCGGGATGCTGTCATGTTCTCTCCTTGATGGTAATGGACTGAATCTCTAAACCTGTAAGCCAGCCCCAATCAAATGTTGTCCTTATAAAAGTTCCTTGGTCAGCCTGGCAGTGGTGGTGCACGCCTTTAATCCCAGCACTTGGGAGGCAGAGACAGGCGGATTTCTGAGTTCGAGGCCAGCCTGGTCTACAGAGTGAGTTCCAGGCAGGACAGCCAGGGCTACACAGAGAAACCTTGTCTCCAAAAACAAAAACAAAACAAAACAAAAAGAGTTCCTTGGTCATGATGTCTGTTCACAGCAGTAAAACCCTAAGACAGAAGTTGGTATCAGGGACTGGGTTATTGCTGTGATAGGCCTGACCATGCTTTTGTTTGGAAGAATGTGGATTTTGGGACTTTGGATTTGGAAAGCCATGGAGTGTTTTAAGTGGGACTTAATGAGTCATCTTAGTATGAATATCGAAGACTTTGTTGCTGTGAGTGATTTGAACTGTGCAGACCTGGCCCAAGAGGTTTCAGGGTAGAAGAACCTCAGTATGTGGCCTAGAGACTGTTTTTGTAGTATTTTGGTGAAGAATGGTGGCTGCTTTTTGACCTTGTCTGAAGAGTCTGCCTGAGGCTAAGGTGAAGAGACTCAGATTAATTGCGTTGACAAAGTCTCAGAAATGCCCATTATAGATTTTTTTCCTCTGGTTAAATCTCATGAAGAGTGTTTTGAATAAGCATAGCAAGCTTAGAAAGAAAAACTATAAAAAATATGATTTGAGTATTACAGGGGCACCAGGAAGTGAAATGAAGCTGAAAATTTTTTTCTAGAATGATCCTTGATGCCATCTCTGTGGTGAGGTGGAGAAAGGGGCTTTGAGTACACCATAGGTTCCCTTTGGCACTATTGAATTTGTAGTTAGGTGTGTGCGTGCGTGTGTGTGTGTGTGTGTGTGTGTGTGTGAGCATATAGAGGGTGGAAGGACAACTTAACAACATTAGTTCACTCCTTCCACCATGTAGGTTGGGGATTTAACTCAGGTCATTGTGCATGGTAACAGGTGCCTTTAAGCACTGATCCATCTCAATGACTCTAGTGTGTTTTAGATCACAAGCAAGTATTTTAGAAAATAAATTCTAGATTTAGAAATTATTTTCCTACTACAGAAAATGTTTTGATAGTTCCTTAAAAACTTAAAGATAGAATTAATAGTGTGGTCCCCATAGAGTTCTAGATGCAAACCCAAGAGCTGAAAGCTAAGCCATGGGTAGACACATGAACATTTGGCTCACAGCAGGATTTACAGGAACCCACAGCCCTTCAGTGGCTGAAGGGCTAAGCAAATGTGGTCCATCATGTGGAGTTCGTGGAAGGGCATTTTGCTGCATGCTGCCATGTGGAAGAACTCAAGGACATGACAGTGGGTGAGTAAGTCACAGAAGGATAAGCACTGTGTGACTCTACATCTGTGAGGTCTCTGGAGCACACAATTCAATAGGCTGAGAGTAGGCTGATGAATACAAGGGCTGATGAAGAGGCTGTGTCAGCTTAGGGGGATGAAAAGCTGGCTCCTAGACCTGGGTGGTGGGGACTGCTGCATAGCACCATGGGGTGCTTCAGGACACTGAGTTGCATCTTGGAAAGTGATTGTGTGAGGTGGAAATGTAAGGGTTCTTTGGAAAGTTAGTTGTGTTGGATAGTGTTTTGCTGGGGCAAACATGTAAAGGAGTGTTTTCCTGAAGTGGACCCAGGTGAAAGACTAAGGCAGATTCCTGTAGGAATGTTTAACTAATGCAGACACAAGTGAAAAGATGTACTGTTAAAAATAAGCATGTGGCAGGACATGTGATGAAAGATTCTTTGCTAACAACACACATGTATTGGTCTGCTTTACATTGCACAGTTGAGTGGCATTTGTCAGGACTCCATAGAGAGAAATGCACCAAAAAACTTCTGGTGGTGTGCTGCAGTTTCTTGCAGCTTCTTCAGACTCAGAGTGACTGGCAGAGTGATGTCAGCTGAGACAGACCTACATGCTAAGACAAGACATGGACTGAGACAAGACCCATGGAGGACATGTGATGTTTAGAGGGATAAAAATAGGACCTGACAGACAGTGACAGTGGATGAGCTAGGGTTGCTTATAGAGTTAGCTATACAATGCTTGTTGGTCTCGAGTCTTTGCTGATCTTTGATTCTTTGAGAGAGGCACAGCCAAGAACTTTTCCTGGTGTTCCTCTAGGTCCCTCTTACTGACTTGAGCGGAGGCAGAGGCCTGGCAGTCTCTGGTAGGTAGTGCTACTGCTGCTGATTCATGTTTGCTATCCAGACTCTATCAAACTGGACTGCTGGTGTATCTGTGCAGTGTTTGCTAGTGGACTAAGCTGCCACTGCTGACCTGTGAACCAAACTGCTGATTTCCAGACAACACAGATTTGAGTTGCTCCAAAGAACTTTCTAAACGGGTATACTTCCCCCATGTCCTTTTTTTCCACTACCTCTGGTGGGTGGTTGGCTGAAAGGGTGGGGAGTTAAAGTGTGTAAGAACCATAAAGAACTAAAAGTAGGCATTAAAAAATTAAAGTTACAGTTGTGTGTTTTACTACAATGCAAGAAAAAAGAAAACATGTTGGAAAGCAGTGGCTAGCATGTGGACATTATTCTCTTCTGTGTTCTCTGTCTTTTCAAGAATGTCTTAGTAATTTTTAGAACAACTGTCAATGCGTGGATTCAAGCTGTTGAGTTTGCCAGGAGTCATCTTGCCTGCTCTGCACTGCACACTCTCCTCTTTGGTTTGTCTAGCCCTCTGACCCAGGTAGACTGCTGCTACCTTCTACTGGATCTCACCCTTTTTTAGGAACACTGTTTTTCTTCTGCTCCTTCCAGGTTTGAGTGCTCAAGTCCTGGCTCCAGCACTGCTCAGGAAAGCCACTGTGGTTTTTAGGCAGAAATATGACACACTATTGCTGCACTTTGCAAGGATCCCCACAGGAGTATAATTAGGCTGAGAATGGAGGCAGGGAACCTACATAGAGGCCAATGAGAAATCTGAGCAAGATTGGCTTTATGGATAATAGAGGAAGTCAATCAGATCAGGGCCCATTCCACACTACCCAAGGTAGACTGAACCCTGCCTATCCACACTATTATGTTGGGGGACATTTCAATATCACCCCACAAGATGATAGCTTGTTTTTTAATGCTACTATATGTACTTATCTGTTCAACTAAATTTTACTTTATTTTACTGTATATGCATGTGTCTGTATGTGTGTATGTGTGTGTGTGTACTAAATATGTGTTCTACCACTGAGCCTCCACCAGCCTCTATAAGAATTGCACTTTTATAATTAAACACGTTCCTGGCTTTTAGGGGAGAAATGGAATAGGCCTAACCTAAACCTATATGTAATTTTAATCTC